CAGAATGGAAATTCCACCTTTTGGCCAGAGAAGACCATCCCCTTTTCTGAAAGCATCACACTGTTAATAAAGCAAAGGAAGCAGAAATAGGTGTTCTGTCCTCGTTTTTCACACGAGAAACTGCGTTAAAGCTGAAAAACACTTCCAACACTTTCAAGAGAGCAGTGTCCAATGCTGGTTTATTCCTAGGTCCAAACAAGTAGTTCAGGGCGTGCCACCTTGGCAGGCTAGAATTTATTAAAAGAGAGTGGTTTTTGGTGTCTCCAGAGTTTGCTTTTAAAGGGCTTTTGGGACACGCAGGTGTCAGAGGGGCACGGACACTTTTGGGATCCAATTTGGCATCTATTTTGAACGCCTACGTTTCTGTTGGACCAAATAACCTCAACTCACTAAGGGGTCCCAAAAGCAGACCCACCGTATCCAAACACTCAGAGCATCAGGAGTTTCTCTGCGGTCAACCACCAACACCTCTAACCCAATGAGCTCACAAAGCATTCTCCAAACACCCACCTTAGCAAACTCAGAGCCTTCCTTTATGATTTCCTCAGCTCTTTCATTCTATTAGCAAAAAAAAAAAAAAAAAAAAAAAAGCCACAATTCCTTTGGCTGGAAACCCAAGAGGGCTGAGCCCAGGCTCCATGACCCAGGTGCATGCTTGCAGCCCTACTCAGCGCTGCACTCCCTGCCTGCTGCAGCCCAGCTCCTTTGCTTGCTTTCTTCACCATTTAAGGACGAGGAAAGCAGCTGCTCAGGGCCCAGCGAATTACCTGGGAGTGATTTGTTTTTGCTGTGAATGCCTATGCCTTCACCACACAAACAAGCTCCTGAAGAAAGGAGGATACAGAGAGAGGGAAGAAGAAAAAAAAAAAAAAAGAGAAGCCAACAGGTTGATCTGGATTACATCAACGGTTACACCCTCCTCCGTTTAATGAACATAGGAGAACAGGTGCTTGTAATTTATTAGCCAACCCACGAGCTGAGGAGACAGGAATTAGCTGCCCAAGCTGCTCAGCGTGCCACTGCTCTCCTTCCCTTTGAGGCAGTAACAGCAAGAAAACTTCACCTCTTTTTTTTTTTTTTTTTTTTTTTCTTTCTTCTTTCTCTACCTCCTTTCTCCTCCCCTTCAGCTGCAGAACCACGAGCTGAGCATGACTAACCCCTGCAAAGCCTTCAGCAGTGGCTCCCTCTGCTCCTGGGAGGCATCAGGGGGAATGAGCCAAGGCAGAGCAGGCAGCACGTCCCCGGAGAGCCTGGGCCGCTGCAGTCCCAGCAGTGTGAGCAGCCCCAGCTGTGGGGCCCTTCATGGAGATGGTGGGTACCAGAGTTCCTCTTACCTCTCCATTGATGGCAGGCTCCTGCCTCCCGTGCATCTTGACATCGACACCAACTTTCATGCTGTGCGAGAGCAGGAGAAGGAGGACATCAAGCTGCTCAACAACCAGTTTGTGACCCTGATTGAGAAGGTAAGGGGAGCTGCTGTGGGGATGGGGATGCTGGTGGTGGCGGTGGGGAAGTGGATGCAGACACTGCCATGAGGCTCATGAAGGCCTCCAGTGAACCACTGCCAGGCTCCGAATGTGAGACTAATTACCCAATTAGATATTTCTTCAGTGCTATCTCTTAGTACAAGGGCTACTATCACCTCTAGGTGAAGTTGGGCCACGGCTGTGGTCAGCAGCCCGTGCCTCTCCTGTGCTGTGCTGGTCAGCACAGCAGGGACAGGGACCTTCCTGCCTGGGCAGCAGGGACATGGATGAAGGCCTTGGTGTGCAATGGACTTATGGCCATGGGCAGTAATGCTGACTACAGTGGCTGCTCAAATTCCTCCCTGGCTGCAGAGAGACAGCTGGAAATTCATCTTTGTAGCTCCGTGGTGGGCAAGGGATACCCCCCACCCACCTCCCTCCTCTGCGGTTTGCACTACGAGGGGTTGCACGCTCAGCCAAGAAAGTGTCGCTTTCATCTCTTAAAAGAGCCATGAGAAGGCAGAAGATTTTTCTCAAAGGAAAACAACTCATCCAGCAAAGGCAGGTTTCTGCAAAGCCCTGGTGCTCTGTAAACAGATGGTAATCTCCTAGGATTGCTTCACTGCAGTCTACAATACCAGCACTCAATGCCAAGCTACTACAGCTTGGGATTTTATTATTTTTTTTTTCAGTACTATTTTCTTTAAGTCAATCTCTAAAAGGACCTGACCTCGTGCTGGAAAGGAGGGGGTGGGGATCCACCTCTCCCAGTATCCATCCCAATGAAGAGCTGTGCACCCACCACATCTCCACATGCCAACGATGTACAGCAGTGCCAGCGGCTGACCCTGCACGGAGGACCATAGCAGCCTTTGCAGCTCTGCTTTCCTAAGCTCTGATCTTGGCCTGGATTTGGAGAACAAGTGGTTTGGAAATCACCTGGAGAGTGATGTGTTGCATGTGCTACAGCCCTGGTCCTTCAACCACCCAGAACACGAGGCTGAGGGGTGTGTGTGTGTACTGAGCCCTGCTCAGAAACCAGACCTTGGGTGAGAGGATGGGGGCAGGGGAGATGAGAGAAGCCCACACAGTAACAGAATGTACGTGAGCCTGACCACAGGCACCAGCCTGTTCCACAGATGGAGATGGAAGAAGTGACAGCCTCTAGATTTCCTGATAAACCCAACCTGGTGACCTGCTGATAAGTGTGCATTACAGGGCCTGATGGACAGAAGATACAAATAAGCCTCCTTAGTTAAGTGGCTTTGACTTCAGCACCTGCAGCTTCTGCAGTTAGCTTTGAAGGCTGCAGCTTCAAGTGGTACATAAGTGGGAAATTTCAGCCACCTGCCTCAGGCTTCCATTCCAGAAGAAAGTTAATGACACTTCCTCGTCACAGAGAATTTGTCTTTTTAATCAGGAATTCAGATGGTCTGAAGCCTGAGCTGCTAATTCCTCGGATAATTGACAACAATAACTGCAGGAGTTTGCTGTTAAGGGTTTCCAGCAGGCTGTTCCAGATCTGCTAGTATTGTCTTTTCATCTGATTCAGGTATGTGCAAGTGGGAGACAGTCAACAGCCAAGTGATGGAATCCCTGCCTGAAGCTCTACCTTCACCCTGAGCAGCTCAGATGCAGAGGTTTCCAAGGTCCAAGCTTTGGTCACTTCTGTGTTTGTTCTTCCAGGAAATGAGGCTCGATTTGAGCGATTCTTCTGCTACAAAGCTCACATTTCATGACTTTACAAAGGATTTCTGCTGAAGCGGGATGCCACGCAAGATGACAGGATGAAAGCAGTTCAGCCTGGTGGGTGGGTGTGGTTTGGGAAGAGGGTAAAAACTAAAGATTTAGGTAGAGAAAAAAGAGCAACAAACCATCAGGAGCGAAGTCAGGAACCAAGACTTCATCTGAGGGTCAGGGAGAGACTTGGAACAGCAGCCAATGCAAACATTGACTATTCTAGCAGCAAATGGGAAAGCTGCCATAAAATGAGAGGCTGTTCTCTACATCCAACCCCACAGTTTGATCTCAGCCCCACTGACCACAGTCCCGCTGTGCAATCCTGAAGATGCCTCAGATGGAGAGAACAAATGGCCCAATTGGTTACTGGTAGCCCCAGTGGCCACTTCCTCATGCCACTGAGCTGCGTGGCCTCACGCATGCGTACGCACACAGCATGATGCTGTTTTTGTGCCAGGACAAAGCAGCCAGTCACCAAACTCCCAACTTGATGTCTATGGACACATGTTATGCTGTAAGGAAGGAGTAGGTCTCCAACAGCAAGACTTAGAAGACCTTAACACACACACACACTCAACTGTAAGCATCCGAGCACTGCTGCTTTGCTTGGCTGCCCTCTGCTCAGATGAGAAGCTGGGAATCCCCTCCATATTTGTGCAGTGCTCAGACCTGAGCACTCTGTCTCACCGATTCACTGCTGTTCTCCTGGCCAAAACTGAAGTCCAAGGAGGAGATCGAGGCCTGATAGCCCTTGTACCCCATTTCTCACTATATAGTGTACTGGTGATGCTGCATCTTCCTCATAGCACAGATGAACTCATATCAGCATTGAATCATCTCCAGGACAGAGTTAAGGCAATTGACAGCCTGGAGCTCACAGCCAAAACATGTCGGAGGGAGTTTGGTTTCCCTCACAGAGCAATGAGGAGAGGTGATGATTAAATAATTAATTAACGTTAGTCAAGAGCTTTGAACGTGAAAACTGTTGAACGCTCAGCATGATTCTTCAGAATGGAGAGCACCAGGAAAGAAGAGCGTCAGATTTGGACAGTGGGTGGATGAGAATGCAACGTATCCTCTCTTAGCAGATAGGCACTCTGAGACCTCACACAGAGCCTCATTATTTCAGTTATTCTGTAGAGCTCCCATAGTTCTCGTCTACACTGCTTTGCAATACAAACCAAGACTGTGATTCATTGCTCAGGCTTCACCATGGTGCAATCCTACAGATTAGAGGGGAGTGATTTGTGCCACCCTGAGACAGTAAATCAGAATTCAATTCACCCCAGACATCTGGGCATGAGCCATAGTGGGTTTTCAGCCTTTATCTCAATATGTTTGGAGGCAAAGGGGACCAGTGTAGATCAGCTTTTATTTTTTCAGTGACTTAACAAGAGATGCTTCTTCATTTTCACATGAATGTGATCTGTTAAGAAATTAAGCAGCATGAAATGCATAAAACCTTTGTAGCCCCTGTATTCATCCTCTGCTCTGGATCTTCAGGGGATTTTTTGCTCTTACCTGGAGATCTCAGCTGAGCTCAGCAACATTTCATTGCTGCAGAGGTCTCCAGACCAGAGGCATTTTGCTGAGCTGTCAGAATTACTGAGGTCTCTGCAATCTCTTTATCAGGTCCAATGCTTGGAGCAACAGAACAAGATCCTGACGACACGGTGGAACTTCCTGAAGGATCAAGACAATTCCCACTCCGAATCAGACATGAAGGCCATTTACGATCAGTACATGAGCAAAATGAATCAAGAGATGCAGGCACTCAACTATGAGCAGGAAAATCTCGAGTCGGAGTTGACAGAGGTCCTGAGCACCATGGATAACTTCCGAAGCAAGTAGGTGTCCAACGTGGCTCCATGTATGAGGGGGGAATGTTTGCAAGATGCTGGTTAAGCTGTGGGACCAGAAGCAGTGTGGCACTGATTGAAAGCAGTGAGTGCTGTTCCCAGAGAAAAAGAGGACAGCATGTTTGAGAAGTTGGTTTCCTACCCTCTTCCTAACTAGAGATGAAAGTAACCTATAGAATGGGTAACCTATAGTATGGGGGCATCTGAGGTCAGAGCACAGGAAACAATACTACCAGGAATAATAGCCAATAAAACAAAGAATTAGTAATCCCCCACACTGTTATCACAAACCAAAGCTTTCTCCCCAGACCAATCTATGGATTTGGGCCCCTTAGAATTAACAAACTGCCTCTCTTTTCCTCCTCCTCCCCCCAGAAATTAAAGCAAAGTTCTGTTTTCACCAAGAGGTTAAATTCTAACCCAATCCTAACCTAAACCTCTAGACAGAACTTATTGAGGCAGATGATAGTTTGAGAGGACTGGCTGCAGAGGGCTTCTTGCTGCTTTTGTCAACAGCTTTGAGATCCTCAGATAACATCTGAGATGCACCACGGCTCATTTAAGAAAACAATGCTTTCCTTATTATCGGTGTTATTTGCATACCACACAGATGAATCCACAATTAGATACTTTCCCTTCCAGTTACACCCATTTGCCTACACAGGATCTCTGGTACTTTCATGCTGATTTGCAGTGAGGAGGACCCACCTGTGGGCACTGTCAAAACAGAACAACAAAGCTAAGGGCCAACCCCTCTGCTGGCATTGACAGACATCTGAAATAACAGCCCACACCTCTTCCTGATGCATGATGTGATGTGTGAATAATGACAGCACCCTTCTCCAGAGAGCTTAGCCCAAGGATCTCAGTGATCTTTGCAGGCTTTGATTAAACCAGCTGCTCAACACGTCTGCAGATCAGGGGAAAGACTGATACCTCCATAAAGGTATCCAGAAGGACCTTATGGACAGATAGAACAGGGCAGCACTTAAATTTACTCAAGCTGATGGCAGAGCAGGACATGGAATTAGGAGTTTGCTTCCTGACCTTATGCTGAAAGCGCTTATGCTCAGCCTCCTTCTAGAAATGATGCACTGCAAATCCCTAAATTCCTTGTGGTGAGTGCTCCTGCTTTGAGATGCTGGTTTCACTTAAAGACCTGGAATCACTGATGCTTGCTTTGCTGACAGACAGCAACCCTGAACTTGGATCAAAGACCTTATAGGCACTGTACCATTTACTCCCTGTCCTAAAAGGTTTTAAGACCTCCATACCTCTGTGGAGCTCCTGCTTCTCCTTGCACATCCCCAGGAAGCAATGGCTCTGTACTTACAGAAGACACTTCTTGGTTTATTCTGTAAGTCAGAAAAACAGGCAGGCTTGTGGAGAGACATCAGATCAGCCAAATCCATCTGCTCTCCCAGTTTGTCCTTCTATTTGTACTCAAATTAACTTACTAATTGCCCACATCTGGCACTTATTATTGTTATTTCTCAACCTGATTTCTTAAGGGTAGAGGTATTTATGCAAACAGGCTGTGTATTTCCCCCTTATGTTCAATCTTGGACAGTTTAAGCCTAGCTGGACAGAGGAGCAGAAGAGGCAGAGATGCTACGCTGCTAGAAATTCAGAAATCATAACTGCTTTGAGGAACAGGGCCCACGTCCCACCCAGCACACTGGGGATAAAAACACAGCATGCAAACACGCACAGTATTATCAGGCAGCAGAAATCCAGGTGGATTTCTGCCACAGCAAAAGCCCACCGCGCTGCCTTCAGCCATTGGTGATCCATGGGGAGAGCACTGCTACTTCTGCTGAGCTTCCCAGGGCAATGCTCCAGCCCCATGCTAACCCACACCAGCTCTTTGAGTCCTGCAAGTCAAGAAGACTGCCTCTGCCCGGTTGTTTTTTTCTGTGGAGTAAATGGGCTGCTTAATCCATGCAAATTTTGGAGGTTTCCAGCTCCTGCAGAGGTTTGTTTTCCCAGGGGAAATATTTTGGGAAAAGCAAAAGGCAGAAATTCCACTACCAGTTTTAAATGGGTATCCACTTGTCCTTGCTGTGGCACCTCCATAGAGCACTGTGCACTCAGTAGCCAGGCAAGCAAGCTGCTGCCCAACAGCTCACGTGTAAAATCTGCCTGTCAGCATCCTCAGAAAGACTCCAATTTGTCTTTTTTCCCCCTCTGTTCAGGTACAGCTTTGCAAAAAACTCACAGGAGACTTAGCTAGGTGGGATGCTTCCACTTCTTCCAACCTCCTTTGGTTGCCATTGAGCAGTGCTGCTATCTGTTGTCATGGTTCCAAAGACAGAAGAGGATGGAGAGGGGACAAGGGAGAGGGTTAAAGTCTGACACAGGGTCTCAAATGCTGCTTCTTTAGGAAATCGTGCCAAAACTGAAACATACTCGGTAGGGGTGACTGCCCAGAGTTTGCTTCAGCTCCCCATGGGCAATTTGCACATGCAAAAATCCATTTGAATGAGAAGGCACAGAGTTTTTGCATGCTGAGCAACTCTGGGATGGGACTGGAGAAATACTGCAGGAAAATACAGAGTTAACAACATTCAGAGGGGCCAGGTCTAAAAGTCAGAGTTTGTGATAATCAGGTTTTCCCCTTGAACGCTGTCAGTCAGCACTCCTCCACCTTCAATCTTTACAGCTGGTTTTCAGCTGCTCCCTACCCCATTTTCTTGCTCTGCAGGAGACACAGTGATGTAGCTCTATGCTGCTGGGCTCAGATCATCCCACCACTGTATCTTTACCCTAAGACAGCCTTGAAGGTACATCCAGAGAGACATGTAGCCTGCCTGAGGATTCAGCTCAACTCTGATTTTGTTCCACTGACTCCAGAAGGAGCCCAAGGCGACCAGACGCCCATCTCGAGTGCTGTTAAAGCGACATAGGATGGATTTATACCTTCATGCATGATTGCTTGAGGATTACCTTGAAGGAGATAAATGCTGTGATGTGTTTGTAGAAGGCTCCATCTCCATGTGAGTCACCTCCTGGCTGCCAGGTCCTTCTGGAGCCGTGCGGTGAGCGCGTCGGGCTGGCTTGGCCTGCTCCCCTTTCAGTCAGGAGCGTTGTTTGCTCCACATGGGAGATTATGTCAGCGCCTGGCAATGCGCTGAAGCTGCTTTGGCAGGCTGGGACAGACTGGGATTGGGCTGAGATGCAATGAGGATGAAGGAAGAGTGGCAGGCTGTAATTAAGCTCGGTACATAGTTACTGGCAACACAGCTAACATTCCAGCTATAGAGCAGAAAAACCAGACAGGTAAATCTTGCTAGCTGCCTAGCCTTATAAGAACAGGCAAAGAGAGGGTGAGTTTAACACCATGGGGTACCTAAGGGGAACCTCAGAAGTGCCCAACTGTAGGACCTGTGACAGTCAGATCCTTCTGTGACCTCACTGTCCCCTCTGTGGAGAAAGCAACAGTTCAAGGGAGATGTTTGTGACATTCCAGATCGGCTCCTGAACAGGATGTATCCCTTCTGCCCTGCAAATCTCCTGGCTGCATTCCCAGTGCTTGTTCCTCTCTCTGCCCCTACGCTCAGCCCCTCTTTCTGGTAAGAAAGCAGCACAGAAGGCTCACTTCTAATTGGAGTGATGCACACCTGACTGCCAAAGAACAGAATCAAGCATAGAATCATAGAGTGGTTTGGGTTGGAAGGGACTCTAAGCCTCCCCCAGCCACACTCCCTGCCCTGGGCTGCTCCCACCCCTCCATCCATGGCACTGAGCCCCTTCAGGGGCACCCCCACTTCTCAGGGCAGCACTGCCAGGGCCTTAGCCTCTTTTGAGTAAAGAATTTGCCCCTTATATCCTGTCTCATCCTCCCCTCTTTTAGTTTAAAGCTATTCCCACCTCGTCCCATCTCTGTCTGCCTATGGAATGGCTGCCATTCCTGATTTCATTATCATCTCTCTGTTAGGAGATGCCATTTCACCTGATTCCTAAATGTCTCAGCCTTCCCCATACCAATTTGATGACATCTGTAAGTAGCACTCAAAGATTTAATTCCCAGCCTGGAAACGCTCTGAGCACATCTGAGTAAGAGGAGCTGGAGATGTCACAGAAGAGCAGGGAAGGTAGGGCTTCTCTAAGAGAACCACCTCCTCCATTCTCAGCAGAACCAGCATTCCTATAGTGCACCCTGCACCCATCACACAAAATTCCTGGTATCTGCACAGCCAGTCAACCAACCTGCTGGTCACAGATCTAGCCCAAAAGAGACTCTGTGTCCCAATGGGCTGGTGTATTCCCTAAACTGTCCTCCTGGCTCTGTTGCCAACCTTCAGGAAACATGCTTGCCCTTGGACCAAGTCTTTGCTGTCCTAGTCCTTATCAAACCTGTTTCTAAACACCTTCAGGGTTGGTTCCTTTGCTGGATATTAGCACTCCACCCTGTCCCATCTGGTTTTTGTTACCTTTTGCTCTGCAGGCAATGTTTTCAATGAAATGCTTTATCACAACCTCTGTTCCTCCATAAATTGTGCTTACATTTAAGATAGGCCATGATGCAGTCTGTTTTCTTGGTTTGTTTGTTTTCTTGATTTTACACATTCCAAAGCTTCCTCCTTTGAGAAGCTTTTCAGACATTGAAAACTAAATGCTGAGGATGTCTGAAAGAGACAAAAAGAATTGGGGTGAGAATCTGGGCTTCACAGAGAACAATTCACCATACCTCAATTCACAGTGCCTGCTCTCTCTCTGTGGTGACTGTGAGGTATCCTGAGGTTGCTTAGCCCTCAAATTAAATTTGTGTTAAAGCTACCTGCTCTGTACTCTGGGGTTTTTCAGGCTGAAGGTGCTAATGGTGTTAGCTGGCATGTGGGAGCTTGTTGCCCTCTCTCCTGTCCAGATGTTCACATCTAAGATATCTCGCACCTTCTGAAGGAAATAGGATGAGATGGTAAGAGCAGAAAGCCTATATTCCAATGCTTTTTTGGGGGCCAACGAGACAATCTGAAGCATCTGACCGGCTTGTGCAATTTCTGTCTGCTTTTTTCCCTCCCCTCTTTAGATATGAGGATGAGATTCGCCTCTGCAGCGGCATGGAATACACCTTCATGGAGCTCAAGAAGGTGAGTGACAAGAGAAGCTTTGCATCTGTATGGTCTGTACACCAGCCCTGCAGTCACAGAACAGCCTGAGAGAGGCAGCGTGGTCCAGGCTCAGCCAGGAGAGTCCAGAGCTGCCCAGAACCACGAGAGCCCTCAAACCACAGAGGTTTTGTAGGGCAGTAAGGCCTTGAGGAAGACAGCAGCGTGGTAAACAAGGTCACCATTTCAACAGGGAGAGTATAAGGGAATCCGGGCCACTTGCGGTTACAGAAAAGCCCCACGGCTCATGGCAGGAGCACAGGGGTCAGGCAGAGCCACACTGCACCTCAGAACCCTGCAAGGCAATGCCTCTCCTCCTTTGTGCACTGCCTCTGAATGACAGCACGGGTTGGGAAAGGCTGGAAATTGATAAATGTGTTTGCTTTTGTTTCCACAAAACATTGCATGGCCACACCCTGCACAAACATCCCGTCCCAGGAGGAGCTGCATTTGAATATCAGCTCAAATGGAAGGCTTTGTGCACGGTCGTTGTATTAAAAAAAAATAATAATCCAAGGTGTAGGAATGCAGGATATTATTAGGCAGAGGAAACATTCTCCACAAATGATCATTATGGCTAATTGCATGTTTTCCCTGACGCAGCCATCAGCCAGTAGGGGCAGTTCTGGTGACTTCTGTGGACAGCATCAGTTTTCAATAACCCCTGCTTTCTGTGGTGAACAAAAGATGAGTGGGTATGGACCAGCCCTGCCTGTTTCCTTCTCCACCCTTCCATTGCAGACTTGCACCTAAGCTCTCACCTAAGGGGAAAAAGAAGGAAAAAAAAAAAAAAAGAAAAAGCAAAAACAACCAGTGAAACAAAGAGTGCAGAGCTGAAATCACACAGGAGCTTCTGTGCTCGTAGAGCAGCTCCATGTGTGCCAGGCACAACACAGCAGGCAGAACGTTGCTGAAGATGATGGGGCAGCAGCAAGGACTTCTCCAGTTATTCATTAACACACTCAAGATGTTTGTTAATACATCTTTTGCAGGATTTAGATGCCAGTACCTTGCATAGAACGGAGCTGGAGGTGAAACTCAGCGGGCTCCAAGAGCTGATGGACCTGAAGAAAACCATCTATGAGCAGGTAGAAATGCAGCTGGGAGGGTGGCCTTGGCACACAGGCAAGGCCAAACAAAAAAAGACTTTTTTTCTTGCAGATAGCTCCAATACAGAGAGGGCTTTGTTCCCAATTTGCACCAAACTGAGATTACTTCACCAAGGGCAGGAAGGATACTGCATCTAAATAAGCCCACAGGGTGCAGCATGCCTGCATCTCCTCAAACACAGCGATGTGATTTCAGCCACTTACTCAGAGCCTGTAAAATGCTACCAAGCAGGCTTGGCAGTGTTTGGGGAATACTAATGGTTTGTCAGAATTCTACCAATACAAACAATTAGAATGCTTGGCAGAGGAGTGCTACTGCCTTTTGTGGGGAAACTGAGGCAGGAAGAAGCAGAATGACCTGCCCACTAACAGAACTGTGCTAGAACACCTCCAAGCACGAGGCCCGGATTTCTCTAAAATGATCACTCCTGGTGCAAAGCAGTTTTCAGGAGCAGTGGGATATCAGATCCTACACAGAATACCAGGATGCTTCCAGGTCTGATTTCTTCTAGGTCCAATATTGCTGTTCTTAGCAGCAGCCTGCACTATTTCTAAACACATCCTCCATGGAAAGAAATCACCTCCCGCCTCTCCCTCCCTCCCCTCCAAAGCTGATTTTCACATCAGTCATTTCCTCACCTGCATCAATTGCTTTGACTGCCATCAATGCATGGGCACGCATATCCAGGAGAGGGGCGAATGCAGGGGGAAGTGTGGGACAGATTTGCTCACAGCATGTCAGTATGAATCAGAAAAGCAACCCAGCTTCAGTCCTCTTTATCTTTTTTCCCCTTTTCTTTTTAGCAACACACGTGAGTTTTCTCACATAGCTACTGCCATGCTCAAACATTAACAAGGAAGCACAAGGATTTAACAGCTAGGAAAAAGTGCACTGATAATCCAATTCTCTGCAAAATTAGTGGGGTACCTTTTCCTCATGAATCACCACATCAGGGTGCTCTTTGTCTCCCAGTCAGGGGAAGGGAAGGCAAACAAGGCATACAGGTGTTTCTCTAAGAGATTAGAGGCAGCAGTACAAAAGGGAAGAACAAAAAACACTGAGATGAAAGCAAAGATGGGGAGAGATGTATGCTGCTCCCATTCACACTGGCGCAAATCAGAAGAAACTGAGGTGAAACTGATAGGAGTGAACCTTTGCTGGAGCAGTCTGAGGCTGGGGGAGCTGCCAAGTGAACGTGTACAGTACCTGCTTGGTGCAAGGCATCAGGTCCTGTCTTGTCAGGATACAAACTACCCAGCAGTGCAGTTTATGGGCATAGATGAAGGGTCTTTTTTAGGTTCACTGCATTCATCACTGTCTGACTCCTTTTGTGACCGAGTCAACTATCAAGAGTAAATACTCGAGTCAGTGATAGCACAGCTTGTGCATGCCTGTTTGTCACCCCCCAGGGCTGGTTTGAGTTTCTCCAGCATACAGAAGCAGCTCTGCCCACTATGGATGTGTTTAGAGAAGGGTCTTCATTCTCCCTTATCTTCCTAGACACAAAGCAGACAGTAACAACAGAAGTGGCAGTATCTGCCTCCATAGATACTGAAGCAGAGCTGAGTAAAGGCATCTTTCTGGAAGCACTAGGAGCAGAACCACTAACAACACCCTATTTCTTGCCCTGCACAGACATGCTCACCATCTGAACAGCAATAGATACTGAAGCATCACCTGCAATTAACCTGCTTTTGATGAAGTGCAAATACACCATTTTGTTGGACAAGTAACATATGTTACCCAAAGGTCCTAAATCCATACCATAGCCTGAGCCTGAATTTAAGGGGAAAAAAATACCAGATTCAGAATTTAAGAGAATAAAAACCTGCAAAGTCTCCCCATCCACATACTGCATATCAGGAAGGCACTTTGCCTGGCTCAGAACATCAGATCTGCCAGAGTTCAGCTCTCTTGTGGCAAGTAGCTTTGTTCAACACTTGATATCTCTATTCTCTGCTATTCAGGAACTCGAGGAGCTGCTGACAGAAATTAAGGACATTTCTGTTGTACTGGGAATTGACAACACATGCAAGCTTGACCTGAGCAGGATTGTGGAAGAAGTGAGGTCTCAGTACGAAGCCCTGGCTCTTCGGAGCTGGGAGGAGGCTGAAGCACTTACCAGGAGGAAGGTATGTCCCTTATCTGATTGGTATGGGGAGAGGAGGGAGAGAAGAGGGAAAAAGAAACTACAAGACTCAGCAAGATGTGGAGAGACATACACCTGGGAATGGAAGGAGGGACAGGGTGCTAACCTAGATCAATCCCTTCTAACTCGTGTGTGTAAATCAGGAGTTTCACAGCCTGAGGCTCTCCACACTGCCAACTGAGGAAGGCAAGATCATTGTCTAGTGGTAACTTGGCCCACTTAGGATGCAAATGTTTTTTCTCTGGTACCTCCTCCAAACAGAGCAAGAATGTGGTGAACACTAATGGACAGTGTGTTCCTACAGTACTAGAAGACACTATGAGTCCTAAATCCTTCCACATACCAGCTATTTCTTCCCGTTTAGGCATTTCTCCCCAGGGGCAGTGGGAAGCTTACTAGATTCCTTTGCTACAGCAAAGGAGCAAGAGATAACACGTGCTTTCATCTTCCCTGCAGCTGAAAGAAGGGAACACCCAGTCAGCCACCTATGGGGGTCACCTCCTTGACAGCCGACGGGAGATTGCAGACCTGAACATCCAAATCCAGAAGCTGAGGTCCTGCATCGTGTCCCAAAAAAGCCAGGTGTGTCCTGGGGTGAGTGACAAAGCTCTGACAGGCAGATCTGAAACTACAACACACCTAACGCTTCTGTTACTTTCTCCCCTTCTGTAACACCAGTGCTTGTACTTAGAGGAGAACATCAGAGAAGCAGGAGAGCATGGTGAGACGGCCCTCAAGGATGCCAAAGCCAAACTGGTCAAGCTAGAAGAAGCCCTACAGAAGAGCAAGGAGGATATGGCTCACCTGGTGAAAGAGTATCAGGAGCTGATGAACATCAAGCTGGCCCTGGATTTGGAGATCCTCACTTACAGGAAGCTGGTGGAAGGAGAGGAAAGCAGGTGAGGTGGGCTTCTCTGCGCCGGAGCAGTGGGAGGGATGCACGCAAACACCTAGGGAGAAAGCAGACACCCCATGCTTTGAGTCTGCTGTTGAAGGATTGATTAAAGAAAGAGCAAATCCCAGAAGTCCCCATAAACTCAGCCCTGTCTTTTGCTCTGAACTTTTCCTTAAACCCTTCAGACTGAAAAGCACCAGCACTTCTCTAACACTGCTTTGCCCAGATGCTGTTGAGTCAGCCTTCCCAACCATGCTTTTAGCTCTGCCCATGCAGCCCAGCTCTCATGAGCCAAACTCCAGCCCTCTACACCTTTCTGGAACTGCAGATGTTAACACACATCTTCACATTCTCTCCTTATGTTCACAGCATGGAGTCACCGATACCCACAGTCATCAGCACCGTCCACTCCAGACCAAAACACCGTAAGTGGTTTTATTCACACAAAATGGTAAAATGAAGCATAAATAAAACATTCCTAAGCTCATCCCCTCTTATCTTCCCTCACCCAGCAGTTTCTGCCAGCACCTTAAGGAACTCCAAGCTGTTTGCCAGGGGAAAAGGCAGTGCCAATGGTGAGATGAAGCTGAACGGAGGCTGCACAAAATCTCTGCTCTCCAGAAGCCACAGTGACAACCTGGCAGCACCTGAAGAAGATCCCTACACCCGCAGTGCCCGGTCAAAGCTCAGCTCCCTGCTCACTGAACAATGCTCCTAGGAGAAATGGAGCCCCGCAGCACAAACCAGACCCAATGGCACCTGGAGGCAAATGAGGCCAGAGCACTTTTTCCCAAACTCAAGCCAATGTCCAAGGGCTGAAGGATGGGATTCCACTCCATGCTGTCCCTTTTATCTTCACAGCATCCCAGTTAACATCTCTGTTACTAGTTACAAGCAGAAATCATCCCAGGATTTTAGAACCTCTCCTGTATGAAACCACACTGACATCTTCTTCCTCTCTAGGTCTGTTTCCAGAGAGGACCTGCATTCATAACCGTTGAGATCTATCTATAGAAGTTTGCCAGGAGGGGAAAGTATTATTACACAAGCTCTTAACACAGTAGCCATCAGCCCAACCTCTTTACCAGTATTACAAAACCATTCTTTTTGATCTGTCTCTGTTCTGTACATGTCCAAGAGGTGCTCACTGATGTGGCTTTCAATGGAAGGCAGCTCCAAGTCTTCCAAGCAGAGCTGGGGGAGATGTGGGCAATCAACCTGAGCCAGGTGAATTTGTGACATCTGTATTTGCATGTCTGCTGACAAACATGCTGGCTCTATTTGGGAATCCTTGCCTACTTCAGAGCGTTTAGCCAATTTAACTGCCTTTTGGGTGGCCCCTCATTCTTTCCCATACCACTAAAGCTAAAACTCCTTCAGCTTTTATTTTGATAAGCCACCTCTTTCTAAGAGAGAGCATCTCTGCCTGTTGCCCCTAAAGGCACTCCAGACTTCACACGTAATGGTGCTAGGTCCTAGAAATGGGATGGTCTCTGGTTCCCATCTAACTAAAACAAGCAGGACTTGTCTTTGTATTTATTGCACTTCTGTAGTGGCTTTCATCTTACCTGGCTGACTCCAGCTCATGCACACCAGCTACGTTGCACCAAAGCTTCTGGGGCCAACTCTATAGCTGCAGTCCTGGCCTCAGTACAGGCACTGCTGTGTCCCTCTTATACACTGACACAGGCAGAGCCCTGCAGTATTTTCCTTCATGAGGCCAGGCTCTGACCTCAATCACTGCCATGTAGCCCCACCTGAGTTCACAGGAGTTCATCAGTCTCATGGTGCATCTCCATTGAGTGCATCGCAGCGTTTCCATGTTTCTGTAGGGTAGACAATGACTGTAGCATCTACGTAACCAGCACACCTGCTCTCCAGAGTTATAATAAAGTACTGAGTGACACATGGACAGCTTGCATTCATGGTTTTCTCTGCATTTCCTACCATAACCCACCTGAAATGGCAATTCCTTCCTCAGCTGCCAGGGTTGAGAACTCTGGTTAATCCCTCACAGCCACTCAAAGCTGAAATCGCTCCCCAGACACTTTGCTTGGCCCAGATCCTCAGGGAGATGAACATGGGGCTGGAATGGCAAATATGAAGCCACAGTTTTGGGGAGCTCCCCACTGGGCACAGAGCATTTTCAGGACATGATGCGTTTCTGCAAGGGGCACCAAGCTGCTCCTCCAACCCTGCTCTGAGCTCCTCCTTGCTCAGTTCCCCCTGCAACTCTGCAAAGAACCTTTGCACAGCTGGGGCCAAGTTCTACACCAGGGAACCACACTTCCATGCAGCCCCTCACTTCAGAGGTGCTCTTTCAGAGCACAGTGGTTTTGTGCTGCTCCTTGCTCAAGAACATAACAGCTGAGGGGGATGAGGCCCCGGCACTGCTGCTCAGAGAAGCTGAGGGATGCCTCATCCCTGGAGGTGCTCAAGGCCATGGATGGGGACCTGAGCAGCTGGTAGAGGGGAAAGTCATGCCAACAGCAAAAAGGTTGGAACTGCATGATCTTTAAGGTCCCCAGGCATTCTATGATTCTATGGCTCACATGGGATATCCACAACACACAAGCCCCCAGAGGACGAGAGGACCTGAGATGGACAACATCTCTGCTCTGCCCTTTGCTGCCTAACAAAAAGAACTGCACTGCTTCCAGGGTCAGCGTATCAGAGGAAGGGAAGATGCTCCAGACTAACAGCTAAAGCTCCCAGTTGTTACACCAGCTGATGGCACAGGCAAGGGCTCTTAATTTCTCAGGCTGGTAGGGGTGGGGAGAGGGGAAAGCCACGGTAGGGTGAGCTTGCCAGCTCAGGAGGAGATGGAACTTGAGCACAGAGCTTCCCCTGGAGGCAGAACCCAGCACAGACCTTCCAAGAGAAGGAACAATGCTGGGTTTGTGCAAGAGCGTGCGACAGCAAAGCTGCACAGAGCCCAGGAGAGGAATGAATGAGAGCTCTGAGCAGCCTAGGGCTGTGGGAAGGCAGGGTGGGGTTGAGGCACGGGGAGCACGGCTGGAAGGAGACAGAGCTGGTGTTGTTCAGGGTGAAACCTGAGCAGAAGGGAGCTCAGCACTCTCACTGCAGGAGAACTGGAGGGTGGAGTGTTTGGGACCGTGCTCATAGCAAGGCTGGGGAGGGCAGGAGCTCAGCAGCAGCTCAGTCGTGTACAGGGAGTGTTTGTAGCTGCTTTCTCTCCTTTTCATGTTTCTTGGTCGCAGATTTTTTTATTTTATTTTATTTTTTCTCCAGTTTCTGAGCTCTCCACTGCCCAGGAGATTGAGAAAGAACCCTACGACCAGAGCATCAGGCTAAAAGTAGGACTACTTGAGTTGGAAAGGGACAGCTGTTAGGACAGCCCCAGCTTAACATCTCACAGTCTCACTTACTTCACTGCTGTGTGCCTCAGTTTCCCCCTGACAATGGGAAAAGTGACATCAAGCTATCGAGCACTGAGGCAACGATTCTAAGCAGCAGGATAATTCCTGTACTCCACTGACAGGACCCGAGCTATGCCCAAGATGGCCCCATACCTTTGGGACACCCCTATCTGTGCATCTACCAGTCCTACTCCTCCACCATACTATCCCTTAAGTGCTGATTTTATCTAAAGGACCAGTCCCTTCCTTAGGGCTAAACAGCAGAGAAATGGCCTGCACCCCAAAAGCAGCTGTTAAATTCCATGGGGAAGTTCTGCTAGCTTTTTTTCCCCAGTGAAGGACAACACAACTCTTGAATACTGCAGGAATACAGGGCAGTACCACCAACTCAGGATCTCACAATTCCCTTTGGGGTGGCAGCAGACAGCCCTAAAAGGGGAATAAAGCTGAGCTAGCACAGCAGTCAGTGCTGTGGCCACTGGATTTAGCTGCTGCTGAAAAAAAGGCAAGCTCAACCTCATTAGTTGGCCAGCTGTATGCACAATCCAAAGCACAGCTGATCCAGGTAAAGCCACATCACTTCAACAGCACGAGGTTTCCCAAAGATGATCTCAAACTCTCTCTGGGGCCAAAGATCGAAGTGCCTACTCCAGCACAGGGGAAGGAGACATCAGATGTCCAGGACATGGCCCAGTTGTGAGACAAAGCCCAGGGGCAAAACCCAGGCACTGATAAAGCCGTGTGCTGAAAGCAGGAGCAGAGCCAGTGCTGGTGGTGCAGACTTTGGCAGGGAGGATCAGCAGGCAAATATCTGCATCTGCACAACAGCAATTGGGACAGAGTCCAGGAGACAAGCTGGAGCAGACAGAGGGAAGAAACAGGGCTCCTCTGCTGTTTTCCACCCGGGCAGTGCCTGAGCCCCAGACCACATCTAAGGGCACCGCGTGCCTGAGCCGCTGCCTCCCGGGCTGGGGAGCACCCAAGTGTGAGCTCCAGGCTCCCTCTCCTGGGCAGGTGATACCATTGCAAGAGCTTCCAAAGGACTCGGAGGCTTCCAAGCACTGCAACAGCCAAACAACCCTCTCCTTTTTTTCCTTCCAGCAAGCCCAGCCTCCCAGGGGAAGAACAACAGCTCTCAGGTTGCAAGAAACAGTACAAAGCGTGGTGAACATCTCTCCCTGGACACTTCGTGGGGGGATCACAGTGGTTATGAAGGGAAATTGAGCCACTGAGGTCTGCCATGGGGCTAAACCTTGCCAGTAATCACCAAAATGACTTTTTATAAAGAGTTAAAGCAAGATTTCCATGGGACGTGCAACCTTCAGCCCACCTGCTTTGCAGGAACCAGGCTCCCACCTGCAGCTGGACAGCTGTCTGCTCCTTCTCACACATTTCTACCCCCTCCAGATTCAGCCACCTTCCTTCAGGAGAAGCAAAGAGAGCCTTATGAGGCTCCAATAAAGATATCACAGACATGGACTCAATGGAGGACACTAAGCAGCCAGGCTCAGAGGTACAAGGAAATTTAGACGAGGGACATCAGTGCAAGTGAGGTTCATGCTTTGTACCAGAGGGATGGCAAAGTCTTTAACACGTTCCATAATATTAAATGTGTGGGAATTGAGATGGAAACATGTTCCTG